GGGTGGTAGCAACCAGCTTGAAATAAAATACAGAAGAGACACTGCCAATTGAGTCTGAAGAGGGTGAGTCAGAGCACCTGAGTCACCGAATTTCACAAGGGCTCTGTATTCCTGGTAAATACATTGCTTAAAGTTTCAATAGTAAAATCATAGATCCATGTAGTAAGTAAGTTAGTACTTCACACAAAAAAACTCCAGTCCATTTCCATTGAATGCTTAGAGTTTGAGGACAAGCATCTTTAGGCTGCACACACAAGCCCCATGATTCTTCCTGAATGGGCCTGTTTGTGAGTCTACCTAAGGATGGAGGTGGACATATTTGCAGAGCCTGAACCAGGAGCCAGGCCCTTGGTGACTTGCTAGGGATACAGAGGTCAAAGGCAGCCTGTGTCTTTGAGGGGCTCCCAAGCTACCTCCTTCCTACAAAGTCAGCATGTCTTCACTGACTACACCCAAGCTGCTGACTTCCCACCTGGGTCTCCACACCGGACAGTGTACCTGCTCTCCAGCCTTGTCCGTGCACCTGTGTAAGAGACTTCCTCACCTGGTCATCCACAGATGTCTCCTTCTCAACATCTGCAACACTGGACAACAACCCCTGGAACCTGCTCCTCCTCACGCAAGGTCTCCATCTCAGAGAATGGCAGAAACATGGGGCTCTTCCTTGGGGTGTCCCTTGCTGCCTCACTCCCTTTATATCTGTCCTAATTTCTGCTGATTCTACTTCCTGGATATCTCTCGAATCCAGCCGCCTCTCGCCATTTCTATAGCCACCGCTTCGGTGCAAACCAGCGCCATCCGCTGCCTGCCAGCATGTCCTAAGTAGCGTCCTGACATTCAGCTTGCAACCCTCCCGTCCAGTGACACCTTTCTAAAATGAATGTACGACGGATTGCTTATCTGTTCAAAACCCGTTAATGGTTTTCGATGGCTGTTCGAATAAAGTGCAAATTCCTTAATATGCACTGCAAAGCCCACTGCGCCTGGATCCTGCCCATCTTCCCATCCTCGCTTGTTTCCTATCTCCTCTCCAAGCACCAGCCACACAAAATCCTTTCACTTCCCCCGGTGGTCCATGCTCCAGCTCTCTTCCTGGCCCCCGCATGTCCTATTCCGCCTGCCAGAAGCCCTTTCCCCTTTCCTGCAAATTCCCATGCCAAGAAATGAGGACCCTGAGTCGCAAGGACAGATGCACACCAATATGATCATTATTCCACATTGCATGTGTACAGCCCTCTGCCTTTGCTGAGTTTTAACTCTATCCCTGTACCTACCATGTAGTAGACACACAATACTTGGCAAACAAAATTCTGAAGAACAGGACTAAATTTGGGGCAACAGAACTGTCTTGGGATATCGTGGCTTTATATAAGTCCAGTGTTGTGGCTGCAGACATTTAGAACCTGGCCTTCCTCATCAGGGACGAGGGATTTCAAGTAATTCCAAAAGGACAGGGGTTAGCAGGTGATCGAAGCATATGTCATGAAGTGAGTTGGCTATTTAGTCCTGTGTGATGGAGAGGGATGTTCTGTTAAAGATTAATCATGGAGTTTTCTCATGCCTGTTCAATGAAGAGGTGCCAAAAACAACAACAACAACAACAACACACACATCACATACCTGTGTGCTCCTTAGAAGTGTAAATAATCTTTGGGGCATCCAGAGGCAGCTTCCCCTCTTGAAGGAAGGAAGAGCAGAGAGCCCTCTATGCCTTCACCTACCTTAGGACATATGGTCCAAGAACAGGGTGTAATCAGGCCATTTGCTGGGGTTAAACAGGAAATGAACGCAACCCATAAGGAGGAGCAAGAGAAGCAGTTCTGGATTCAAAATTAATGGACATGGATACTGAGACCAGTTCAAACCCAGGACTCCTGGGGCAAGTGGGCTGGGTTGTGGGACGATTTGAGCACCAAGGGACATATCCTGGGAACCCCAGGTGACAGACATCCTTGGCAGAACTTACCACAAAGGCAATGAAATGATCTTCCCTCAAATATCCCTTGAGGGCACTATGCTAAGTGAGATAAGTCAAACAGAGGAAGACCATACTGTCCGATCTCACTTATATTTGGTATCTTAGAAAACCAGACTTACAGAAACAGAGCACAGATTCATAGTGGCAGAAGCAGGGGTAGTAGGTGGAGGTGAAATGAACCAAAGAGGATCAAAAGGTATGAACTTCCAATTATAAGATAAATTCCGGGATGTAACATACACCACGGGGACTACAGCTGACAATACTGTGCTGCATATTAAAAGCTGCTGGGATGGCAGATCCTAAAAGTTCTCATCACAAGAAAAAACATGTGAGAATGTGAGGTGATAAATGTTAACTTAAAGTATTGTGGTGATCATTTTGTAATATATACATATAACAATTCATTATGTTATGCCCTTAAACTAACAATACTATATGTCAATTAAATGTCAATTATTTGTCAATATTATACACCAATAAAACTGGGTGGGGAGGGAAGATCCCTGAGGACTTGTGAGTGGACGGGATCAATAGTGGCCCAGCATCAGCTGCTAGAATATCTCGGACCTAGTTCTCAACAGAGATGCCTAGTGGCCTGTGACAAAGGTGCCACAAAAGCAGGGGACAGTGCTTACTCTAGTTACCTAGGGTAGAGGTCAGCAGCCCCCAGAAGGCCTCTCAGGGTTTCTGGCCTGTATCACAGCCCTAATATTTAAAAAAATATTTTTTCTTTATTGATTTTAGAGAGCGGAAAAGATAGAGATCGATAGAAACATCGATGAGAGAGAACATCGATTGGCCGCCTCCTGCAGGCCCCCCACTGGAGATCAGGTCCACAACCTGGCCATGTGCCTTGACGGGGAATCGAACCAACAACCTCTTGGTGCATGGGTCGACACTCAACCACTGAGCCACACCAGCTGGGCTCACAGCCCTAATTTTATACATCTATTTCTAAGTTCTTCTGGTACTCACAGAACAAATAATGGTTAACTAGTAGTCTGTGAAACCTCTTACGGTTTATTCAAGATTACACATTGAATAACAGGTAGAGACAGAAAAAAACAAAAAAAAAGTGGATTCAGTAAAGATGAGTGGTACATTGTGCTGTCAGAAACACAGACACAGAGGTGAGAAGGGACAGACCCATGAGCTCATCGGCCCATGGCAGTCAAGGGCTGTTCCCTACAATGTTTTGATGGCCTCTGGCTCGGAGCGGAGCCACTGGAAATTATGCCAAGTCACATTAAGTCGGCATAAAGCCTCAGGGAGGAACGGGGACTCTGGACAGAGGAATGTGACACAGAACCAGGGCGATGTGACTATACCTCATTATCTCAGTGCCTTTGAGAACACACTGGAGAGCAGTGCTGGGTTTTGGATGCACTTAAATCTTCCATAAATGGAGTCTAAATGCAGGCTGCATGACATCCAAAGACTCCCCAGAGAAATTCCTATTATGTCCATGGAAGGGGAGTGAGGCAAGTCCCGTCTGGCTGGGCCAAGAGTCTTCTCTGCTTAGGAAACCTCGCGGTTGTCGCGTTCAGTGCTCACTGCGTGTTCCTACCAGAACAAAGCCCCGAACACAGGGGTGTAACTGCACTGGAAAATGGGCCAGGTGGAGCAGGCAGTGCTGGGCGATTCTTTGTCTCTATCTTATCAAAACCACAAGGCAAGGCATTAAATAGGGTATCATTTTTATGAAGTCCCTCGCTAGTTATGAGACAATGTTATGACCAGTGTTGCTCAGAGTTGCTATAGCAAAGCACAGTGACATTCTCAGTTTCAGCATATTCTTTATCAATATGCTAAACCCGAGAACTGGCTGGCAGGTACCACCAGTGGCTTTCGCTCTGTGGGACTGACACCCCCAGGAAACCCCAGAACTTTACAGTAAGTACACAGAGAAATTAGCACAGATGGATGAGGCGAGAACTCCCATGCTACCTGCTCCAAGAGGCCGAAGTACTGGGCTCCCTTCTTCCCTGCATAGTGACCTCTGGTTACCTTCTAACGCATTGCCCTTGATAAGAAGTAACTGGCACTGAGCCTTCATGGAGCGCAGAAAACGACCAATCACATCCATTCGGCAAATACATGACATACAGGAACAATGTGAGAGAGACACAGCGACTGGTTGCCTCCTGCATGACCCCGACCAGGGCCCGGGACGAACCACAACCGAGGTCCTTGACCGGAATCGAACCTGTGACTCATTGGTCCACGGGCTGACGCTCAAACCACTGAGCCAAACCAGCCAGGGCTGAAAGTCTTCACTACAGACAGAAGTGAATCCACCCTCGGGCACAGTGTTCTGAAGCCACACCGCTGCAAGTGTGGCCCTCGGACCAGCGGTATGACCAGCCCTGGCAGTCTATTAGAAGAGCAAAATCGGGCCCCACTTCCCACCCAGTGAATCAGAACAGCTGAGAGTGGAACCCCAAAATCTGCACTTACATTCTCTAGGTCGACCTGTGGGTCGCAACCCCTTTGGGGTCAAACGACCCTTTCACAGGGGTCGTCTAAGACCATCAGAAAACACATATTTCCGATGGCGATTCATAACAGTAGCAAAATCACAGTTATGAAGTAGCAACAAAAATAATTTTACGATTGGGGGCCACCACAACACGAGGAACTGTATTAAAGGGTCGCGGCATTAGGAAGGTGAGACCACTGCTCTAGGTGATTCTTACGTACCTTAAAGTGTTGAGTAACTAGTCTTCAGAAATAAAAGTGGGAATAAACGAGAAATGTCCTAAGGATTAGGATTGTGCCAGGGGCAACTGACCTATTCTTGCTGTCATTTAAATGTTTAACCATCAGGGGAAAGGGGGAGGAGGAAGGACGTGCACACTGACACGTGTGAAGGTGGCCCCTCAGATGCGGGCCCGCATCAGACGCCTGCTCCACACTCTGTCCCACCGAGGCCAGAGCCGCCTCGCCCCCAGCACGCTGCCCACGCTCCCTGTGCAAGAGTCCTGCTTGGCGTGGGGACCAGCGGGCAGGCGTGCCGTACCGTGGTTCAGATGTCTGATGCAGTCGCTCAGGACAGCGTGGAACTTCTTCTGCTCGGCGGCCTCGTGGAAGCAGAAGTAGCCATGTCTGAGGAACGGCTGCCACAGGTATACCGGGAACTCCTTCGGCAGGACCACAAAGGGCTGGGCGTTCTCCTTCTCGTTGGATGCTGCGGAAATATTGAAGACACGGAGATTGGCAAAGGCGCATCTTTTATTTAAAATGCTTACTTCGGGCTCTGAAGGGAACTCTCTAGGGCGGGCCATGGGATAGACCAGTGGTGAGAGATGTCCTGGTGGGGTCAGGGAATGAGTTCAGGCTCCTCCCACCTCTCTCCACCAGCTTCACCTGTCTCTCTCCAGCAGGTGGCCTCGCCCCATGCCCCACAGGGACAACCAAGGCATCAGACACAATCTTTCCCAACTTCCCCACATGGAGAGAATGCACAGAGCTCCCTCTCCCCACTGGCCGTCTGGCAAGTGCTCAGTCCAGCGGTGCAGACCCTCACGCTCTTCTCCCCCAGGCTCCCATGTCACCAGGTCTGCTCTCTGCCCTGCACTCTCTCCCTGCCCCCCCTGTCACTTGTTGTCTTCATGCCATCAACACCCCTTCTCACTCAGTCTTGTTCCAGCCCCACCAGTCTAGAAACCAAATTGCTGAGGTCCCCCGCATCGTCCTGACTGCCAGCCAGCCTGTGGCTTCTTCCTGATTATCTATCCTTCTAATCTGATCTGAAACATCTGTGGCTGCTAACTACTTCTTTTGAAAACATTCTCTTCCCATGACTTCCAGGAGCATGTCTCTCCTGCTGTCCTTCATTCATGCTTTTCAAAAATTGGTTCTTCTTTGTCACCTTTACTGGTTCCTCTACCCCTTTATGCAGCCCCAGTGAAGTGGTGGTGCTTATTCCTGTTCTGTACCGGTCTCTCTCCAAGCTCAGTTGCCACTCTCCCATGACATCCATCCCATGGCTTTGCACATGACTTCTGTAGTTTAGAATACAATTCCCCCTTCCCTTCCATCATGACTGTGCACAGACAATTCCCATTTATCCTTCAAAAGTCTATTCAAAAGCCACCTGCTCTAGGGTGTCTTTGTAGGCAACTCCTTCTACTATGAGAGAAAGCGTTGGGTGCTCCCTACCTTGTTCTCCCAAAATTGTAAGGATCAGCTTCTGTTTCCGTGCTTGGCACCCACACACAGGGTGAAAGGCACGGACTGAGAGGTGCCCCCTCACTGATTCTCCCCAGGAAGCTGAACCACTGCATCTGACAAATCTCTGAATCCCCAACACATGGCACAGTCATGGAACCTCGTAGATGCTCGACTCCAGTTTGTTGGGTGAATAAATGTGCCACATTGTTCTCAGAAATTTTAAAAGCCTTAAACAATGAGGACTTTTACCTCTTCCCTCAAAATCAGTTCCAAGAGACGCATGATAAGCCGCGTTACTATTCAGAGCCCCTACCCAAACGGTGTTCCCTTCCGTGCATTGCGATGAGAGGACATTGCTCTTGGTTCAATGAAACCCAGCTTATTCCCTGAGTCATGGAGAACAAGTGCACAAAAAAGTAACCCTGTGCTCCCTGCCTACATCATCAGCCCCAATTTCAGGGAATGAAAGAGAAGAAGGACCCCCCCCCCCAAGAGTCCACTGAAAGCCCTGAGGATGCCAAGAAATGGATCATAATCATAAAGGCGGCTCCACAACCAAGTCCTGCTACTGGCAAATTAATAAATCCAGACTGGCCTAGAAAAAGAATAAATTTCCTAGGGCAAAAAATGGGAGCTATTTCAGGGTCCCAACACCTGAAGGTAACATAGTGGAATGCACTGGAAGCACAAACCTGGGCCTTCGGCATAATACCCGGCACGTGGTAACCTAAGCATGAATCACCGTGTGAATGAACAAATGAATGGATGATGGAATGCCGCAGCAGAGACCTCTGGTTGTAACACGTATCTATCCTGCCTTCTTTCTCTGTAACAAAATCCTTGATTTTCTATTGAGCAAATGCTACACAGAATAAAGACGACATTTCCAGCCTCCACTCCAGCCACAGCCACTAAGTTCTGGCCAATGGGGTCACTGAAGTGGTGGTGAAACTTCCTGGGAGCACCTCGGAGAGAGGGAACGTGCCCGCCTCCTCCCTCTTCCCCCTCCTGCTGCCTGGGATGAGAAAACCAGGCTGGGTCTCCAGCGGCCACCTTGTACTAGGTCGGGAAGGGCCACAACTTGGAGATAAAGGGAGAGGAAGCTAGGAGTCCCTGACTTTTATGGAACTGTCCCACACCAGCCCTGGACTGCTAATATCCACTTATTTTCAGCAAGATAATAAAAGTTTAAGTATTTCATTTGAGTTTTTTTGTTGTGTGTGGCAAACTAAATGCTAATCAATAAAATTCCAAATAAATGAGTCACTTCAGCAAGACATGAGGGCAACTCAACACGTCATCTTGGCAGAATGCTGTGTAAAGAAGAGGTATTTATTGATAAGCCTCTGGTGCTTTTTCTCAAGGGAGGTTAATTCCTTCCATGTTGAATGTGCCTTTATCCTTTGCCATAGGATTAATATCACAAAGGGAGTGTTTCTGTTCACATGGTATTGTGAAGCAATTGCCCTTCCCAAGATGTCACAACTTTGGACAAACAGCTGAAAGCCACATGGGCCCTTTGCATTAAAAAGTGTCAGAAAGTCGCCCAAAATTAGTTTCAATGAGCCTCTAGATATCTCTCATTTAACCTTTCACATCAATTTTCTAGATGCCATTAGCCTGCATGTTTTTCTGAGTTGGATTATAAGGATATCACAAATGAGCTACTGTAGAATGTTCTATTTCTTCAACTCAAAAGGCCACACACCATACAATGAAATAAAAAGTCATTGAAATGCCCCAATCTGAAGCCCTGAGCCAAATGGCATTAGTCACAGAGGACTGGTGTTTTTATTCCTTTTCATTCCTTCTGATGTGAATTCATCAATAAGTCAATAAATATATTGTCTGTTCTGACTGATTTCATTGGAAAGTCCTTTTCGAGAGATTCTGGAGAGTCAGGGTGTTGGTATCCCCACTCCAGAGCCAAGAAGACATACAAGTAGATGTTGAAAGAAAATATAATAATATGTATAGTGCACATAAAGTGCTTTAGCTTGAATTAATAACAATTTGTTTAATCTAGGTTTATGGTCCATGCACTCATCTAATAATAGTGCTACTAAAAACACTGTGCTAAGCATTCTGCACCACCACAACAGTTGAAAAAAACAACTATATTTTCTCCATAAATTTTAATGAAATGATTATACTTGTTAATAAGAACCAGCGCTCTCTTCAAGAAACCAAGTAATTACTGCGTAGTATGATTTACACAAAGCCAGATGGAATCATTCCATTATCCACAGTTCATGAATTTCTATGAAATGCACTTCTTGGTCTCTAGATACATATTATCCATCACTTCCTCTACATGGAAAAAGTAGAATAAACGAGAATCAAAGTGTGTTCGAGACGGAAAGATCCTTCTAGATTTTCAAGTTCAAGGCCCTGGAGTTGGAGAAACAGTAATCAGAGAAATTTAGTCACACTAGGAAGACACTTGATAAGTGGCACAGTTAGAACTAGATAGAAATCCAGCCTTCCAATTCTCAGTCCAATGCTCTCTCCATGGCAGCATTTGGCTATTATTTATAAATATGTCGATTAATTTAATGCTTTTTCACACCACAGCTCTGAGTTACTGTAATGCTTGTTAAAAACACTTTCTCGGTTTAGAATATTCTATTGCATATCTTCTTTAAAATAGAGGAATAATATTCCCTGACATGCTTACTGGCAGGTGAGATTGGACATTTCACAGACTGGGCCCTGTCTGTTTACTTCTGTCCTGTGTAATGCTAGTAAGGCCTCCATTGTATTCCAAAAGCCGTGGGATGCCCAACCAGCGGCACATTTCTAATGCACTAGAAACACGGCAACTGACCTGTGTATTCTTGACTGTGACTTAAAATAATAGAAGTGGTACAATGTTTACCTAAATTAGGGAAATTACATCTCCCGTTTGTCTATGGAGTATGTGTGTCTAACCCAGTTTCTCAACTTCAGCAGCTATTGATATTTTATGCCAGATAATTTTTTCATTGTCAGGGGCTGTTCTGTGCATTGCAGGATGTTTAACAGGATCATGGGCCTCTACCCACTAAATGCTTGTAATACCATCCTCCCAAGCTGTGACAGCTAAAAATGTCTCCAGACACTGCCAAATGTCCCTGGAGAGTGAAATCTCCCTCCCCTCGTTGAGAGCCATGGGTCTAGCTAAACAAAGCCAGTCTAGGAATTTCGCCTTGGGAAAGAATGCTCAGCAACTCACCAAGAGGGTCTGGGAAATGCCGATCAGATAATAAATTGTATTCCTCTTCCGAGGTTAACACCTTGCCACCAGCTGGAAGAATTCGGCTTTTAGGAGCAGCTCCTCTCTGATAGGCCTGGGAAAGAAAAGGCATAAATGAGTGGTTATTTTTCCCCATTTGGGTTTCTGAAAAAGATCAAGAATATTTGAAATAGACAGACAGACACAGGCACTCGGAGATAAGCAATTCCCCTCCTGTCATTGAGTAAGAGCCATTTATTTAAAAAAAATATGTTTTGCGTAATTGCTATTTGCCAGGTATTACTTTAGTACTTTTGTGTGATGGTCACAACTTGGCAAGTCAGAGTCCCTAATCTCAGGGAGATTCACTGTAGGCGTGTTTCTCAAATGAGGAAAACATAATCTTAGTAACTTCTAGAAATCCTGCACCACACCATTTCAGGGGCCGGCGTCTGAATCATTCTGAGAACCACAAGGGTGATGATGCAGACAGACGTTTACTACACAACACACTTGCAGACTGATGACTCATGAGACTGTAAGACAGGTGGCTGCAATCATGGTTGCCATGGATTTTCACCAAAAACATAAAAATATTGCCATGATAAATATGCCAGCACTTTGCCCTCAGATGTGAGACTGTTTGACAGCAAATGATCTGGGAGGGGGGAGCAACGTCATGACATCAGAACAGACGGTGGCCAGCAGACAGACAGCTCCACTGCTGGGGAGGCAGAAAGAGGGTAAGAAGCATTTGTGAAGCAGCCAGGACCACGAGGACACACAGATAAGATAGACTTTGAGGATATGCATCTCATGACGAGGCTGAAGTCAAGGCAAAATGTTGACAATCACAAGCTAAAAGCAAACTGAGAATTGAAACCCAGCAACTGTGGGACCCAAAAGGTAGAGTGTGCTCTTGGGAATAAGAAGAACATCTACTCCATCAAGAATGCAGTGACTGAAGAGACCCAAACAAAACAAACTCTCATAAATAAGAAGGTAGTTTTCATGCTTGTAAAATCCACCAATCAGCTGCTTAAGCATATCAGGGACCCAGAGCACAACAGAGAAGAATCAAAAGTTGTGTGTTGTTGAAAAAGTTCAGAAGCAGTTACATTGACACTGGCCTGAAATCTAAATTGTGTTATTTGTTCTATCACGCTCCAATCTGGGCTTTTATGAACATGATATTAATCAATCCTGAAAATAGCACTATAAATTACTTATTCTCTCTATTTTATAAATGCATAACTCTTAAGTATAATTTTTTAAAATATACTCTTTTATAAATGAATAAACAAGACATTAAAACTTGGAGGAATAATAGCAAACTACATGCCATTTTTTAAATTTCCAAGTTTTTTAAATACTTGTTTATTATGAAATTCAGTAGCCATGTCTTTCAAATCCAAACAGGCTCATTTGAAAATGATGAGCAAAAAAATTTTTAAATATTTGGTTATTATACAATTCAGTAACCATATCTTAGAAATCCAAACAGGTTCACTTGAAAATAATGAGCAAATAAATTGAAAGTCGAGGGAGAAAGCTTTGAAAAGTGAAAAGAGGAAAAACCCCAATTTGGATTCAAAATGAAACTTTGGTTAGTGCCAAATATGGTGAAAAACATAATAAATTCAAGAGGAAGTTCCATGAGTGTTTCCTCCCAATTATTTAGTAGTGATCATACCAAGAACTGGTCTATTGTGGGCTCTCCCAGTGGTTGCCATGTACTTGGGCTTCAGTGCTCCTATTTGTTTATTCCTCACAACATGGGAGGAAGGGATCATGCTCACCATTTTCCAGATGAGATAGGTGAGGCTCAAGAAGATTTATGACTTATGAAAGGACACATTTCAAAGTCCACAATATTAACCATTCTGCAATACTGCCTCTTCTCAGGCTTCCCTGAGAGGACATGTAACATGTCATACAAAATAAAGGTGACTTGTTATTGTTATTATTATTGTTGTTATCTGTAGTGTATTGGTAATTTGCTCCAGAGAGCAAATCAAGTGTTGAATAAAATCTAATACAGATAAGCAGAGAAAATATGAGTTTAATGAATATGGCAAAGAATAAGACTACACAAACAGCATTAGCTGGTTGCCTGTGGAATAAGTTTGTATTGCATTTTATTTCTATTGTCCATCAGAAACAAAAAGGAAACACATTGGTCTGTCCCCCTGAGCTTCTTCCTGTAGGTTTAACATCAGGGGTATTGATCAGAGTGTTAGTGGTGGTTGTCCTGCCTGCTCTTGAAAGAGAGCTGAGTTTTAAATCTGTTACCACTTTTAACCAATAAATAATAACTATTCATTTCAAAGGCAGATTGAGCATCTATGTGGATTTAAAATATGTACAGTATAAAATCCAAAAGGAACTACTGGAATAATTCAGCCTAACTCTCCAGTTTCACTGAAGCCTGACCTGCACTTTAGTTTTCCAAACTCATAGCTCAGTGTTCTTTCCTTTGTACCCCTATATTTTCCATGGGGAAATAAATGAGAACCAGTAAAAATGGAAGTCCTCTTGAATGCTAGGCACTTAAAATACACGATCTCATTTTCTCCACATTTCACAGAGAGGATAATAATGAGATAACCAGGAATAAGTTAAAAGGAAAAAAAAAAAACCTTCCATATGAGTGGAATAAGTATGTGAAGTGTTCTAAATCCCTAGGAACTCATGCAAATCAATCACAATCTTTTTTTTTTTTTTTTTCATCTTCATCCAAGAATATGTTTATTGATTTTAGAGAGAGAAGGGGACAGAGAGAGAGAGAGAAACATCACCCAGTTGCCTTCCATATACGCCCTGACCAAGACTGAACCTGTAACCTAGCTATGTGCCCTGACTGGGAATCAAACCTGCAACCTTGTAGTGTACAGAACAGTGTTCCAACCAATGGAGCCACCAGGCCAGGGCTCAACCATTACCTTAGTAAGTAACTCCTCAGCCCCTGCCATGCAGGAAGTTGAGAGAGGGAAGACAAGGAGACACAGAGCAGAGGGAGAGACCTCAGGCAGTGACCGAGGAAGCCTTCGAAGCTGAATGATACAGTAAAGGCTCCTGACCTGGTCACGCGGCATAACCTACTTTCACACCCACTTGCCAGTGCTAGTTCAAAGTCTGTCTTGCCCGCTAGACTGCCAGCATCTGTCTGGTCACTGCTAAATGCCCAGAACCTTTTACGACATGCAGCACATAACAGGCACTCAGTAAACATCAGTTCACTGAAATGAGTACCTGCTCGTAGGAAAAGAATCAATCCTAAAGAAGAGGGCGCAACAACCCAACCACCCAATCTTCGAGAATACTGCAAGAAGCAAGGGTAGCAGGGAAGGTCGTACCTCTTTGTTCTCGTAACTCTCCACAGCAAAATCATTTTTAACCACGATGTATCTCTCCTTCCATTTCTTTATATCTTCGGCAAACTGTGATAGTTCTGCTTCATACAAAACAGTTCCAGGATCCAGTGGCGGCTTGAAGGAGATGAATACAATTAATTATGACCCCGAAAGATAGCACACCATGCTTACCACTAGTCTGTCCATGACACTTCAAGGAATATTTCAAGAAACTGTCTTGTGCTGAGATCCTGGAGGAATGGTTGCTTCTTTCCCTCCCTCCACACTTCCCTTTCCTCCTCCTGATCAAATGCAAGTATTTGTCTTATTGATGTTTTTGAGGTTTTCACTTCCCTCCATTATGCTACAGAAACAGAAGCATATGGCAGAAGGGGTTACAGTAATAAGACAGTGCCTGGTGTACACGTGACACTCAATAAATCCTTGATAAACTGTGGAAGAGAGGGAGCGAGGCAGCTAAGTATACATTGTGGGCATCTACCCCAACACAGGAAATATGCCTCAGGATTAAGTCCTGAAAAACAGGAGAATTAACAGGCTGTTCCCCTATTCATCACACCTTCAGGCAGCCTCAAAAGTCAGGCTGGCCCTGGCCGGTTTGGCTCAGCGGTTAGAGCGTTGGCCTGTGGTCCAGAGAGACCCGGGTTCGGTTCCCGCTAAGGGCATGTACCTCGGTTGCGGTTTGTCCCCGGCCCTGGTTGGTTGTGCGGGTGGCAGCCACTAGATGTGTCCCTTTCATGTCGATGTTTCTCTCTCTCTCTCTCTCTCTCTCTCTCTCTCTCTCTCTCTCTTCCTCTTTCTCCCTCTATCTGAGCAAAAAATGGAAAAATGTCCTTGGGTGAGGGGAAAAAAAAAAAGTCAGGCTGGATGGTTTTCCCAGGCCCCAAAGCCCTGAGGGCCCAGGCTGTAAACACTGAGCCCATCCCTGTTCTCAAGGCGACCATGTTGGCTCTGGGATTAAAGAACAAACAGGCATAGGAAGAGAGCAGGCAAACAGCTCTGGTGGGGATGGGGAGTATATGTGTCTGTGTGTGTGTGTGTGTGTGTGTGTGTGTGAGAGAGAGAGGGAGAGGGAGAGGGAGAGGGAGAGGGAGAGGGAGAGGGAGAGGGAGAGGGAGAGGGAGAGGGAGAGGGAGAGGGAGAGGGAGAGGGAGAGGGAGAGGGAGAGGGAGAGAGAAGGGGTGTTGAGCAAAAAATAGAGAGAGAAAGAACTCATCCACCCAGACAACAGTGTGGTGATTGCAAGGGGATGGGGGGTGGGTGGAGGCAGAAGAGGTTCTATGGGGGATAAATGAAGATAGAAAACAAGAAAGGGGGAAAAAACAAGAACAAGCAGGTAAACCAGCACAGCTCGGTTCTGCCTCTTCTCAAAAGTCTGAGGATTTCTTATCAACTAGGGGGCATGTGTGCTGCAGGGCAGCCTCTGTCAGGTTCCTAGTGGGTCTCCCACGGGGCTGACCGTGGAAGGAATCATTCCCATCCTGCCTCGCGGTGCAATTGCTGTTTGATCTCAAAATATGGGAATGGACCTTCTGTCTTCTACATGAATTTACATCTATTTTCCCTTTATTAAAAAACCATAATGCCTTTGGAAGCACATCCCTCCACTTTCAAGCAAAATTTACAGGAACCACACAAAGAGGATAGATGGGCTCATCTTTTTCAGAATCGTCTGAGGAATGAAATAAGTTCCCTCCAAATCCCAAGGCTTAATATTCTGTTCTCATAAATAATGAGGCAGTCTTGCTTCATTAACAGGTAAGAGAGGAGCTCACTCTTCTCTCTAAATGAGACTGAAACCTTTATAGTTCTTATGGGCAGCATTTCTCGAAGCTGGGCCACTTACATCAATTGATATACTTGTTTAAAATGTGGCCTCGCCCTGGCCGGTTTGGCTCAGCGGTTGGAGCGTCGGCCTGTGGACCAGAGAGTCCCGGGTTCGGTTCCCGCTAGGGGCACATACAAAAATAAATAAATAAATAAATAAATAAATAAATAAATAAATAAATAAATAAGTAAGTAAGTAAGTAAGTAAGTAAAATAAAATGTGGCCTCAACCACCCAGCCAGTGTGTCTCAGTTGGTTGACAGTGTGTCTCAGTTGGTTGAGCAGCATCTCAAGCACCAAGAGGTCACCCACCCGTTCAATTCCTGGTCAGGGCACATACACGGGTTGTGGGCTTGGTCCCCATAGATGTGTAGGAGGCAGCCCATCAAAGTTTCTATCTCTTTCCCTCTCCCTTCCTCTCTCTCTAAAAAATCAATTTCAAAAATATTTAAAATAAATAAAAATAAAATGTGGCTTCACCCTAGAATTAATGTGTCAGAATCTCTGGGATTGTGAGCCAGAATTTGCCTGTTAAAAAGCTCCCTAAATTATGGAGGTGATAATCAGTTATCCCTACACATCCATGCTGCTAAATCTATTCCTCGTAACAGTATCTGACCCATTTAATACTCCCATCTTCTTGGAACGCCTTTTTTATTTGCCTTCTGGAACATTTCACGTTTCTGACATTTCTCCTACTCCACGGGCTATTTCTTCTCTGTCCATCTTGCGGGATCCTTCCTTTTCTGATCTCCAACTGTTGAAGGGGTCAGGGGCTGGTCATGAAACCTCTTTTCTCTATGTTCTCCTTTGATCATGCCCCACGGCTTTGCTACCAGTTATAACCTACGAAATCCCACATTTCTGTTCTCTAGCTTCAACCTCTCCACTGAGCTCCAGGTCAGAACAGCCCACAACCTACTCAGTGTAAATAAGTACATCTGAAACTTAAGATGCCCAAAGTGAACTCGTGTTTCCCATCCACTTCTGACTCTTCTATCCAAAAGGCAATTCCATCCACTGATTTGCTAGAAGCCAGGAACTCATCAGTGATTTCTCTCTTCTCCTATTATCTCTGACCCAACCCATCAGCAAGGTCTGTCAGCTCTGTCTCAAATACACCTTGGCTCGGGCCTTTCCTCATGGCTGCCACCATCTCCACCTAGTCCAACTCGCCCTTTCTCCTGGACTGCTACAGTGTCCTCCTTGCCAGTCCTCCACGTCCCCTTTTGTCCTTCCCCATAGTCTTCTTGCTGTAGAGAGGCCAGAAGGTCACTCTGTATTCAATACCTTTCAATAACTTCCAATAACACTTAAAAAAACACCCGACTGTAGTCTGTGGGTTTGAGGTGGCCTAGTCCCTACCTGTCACTCTGTAGTCATTTCTTGTCCCTGCTCCCTGGCTTATACTCCTCTCATCACACCAGGCTTCCTGAGACGCTTGCGACTGTAGCAGGATCTCTGGGCTTGCGGTACCACCTGGAAGAGTCTTCCCACAGATGTGCACACAGCCTATGCTTATTTCACTCCAGTTTCTGCTCAGCTGTCATCGCCACAGAGGGCTTCTCTGACCGTCTTCTCTAAACTGAGATCCCTGCTCTATTTTTCCTTTGTAGCACTTATCATCACCTGATATTCATTTATTTAGTTGTCTATTGTCTGTCTCCTACATTTGAATATTAATAGGAGGGCAGAGAATTTGTCTTGCTCCCCAGTTCTTGAAATAAAGCCTGGCACATAGTAGGTGACAGTAATTATTTGTTGAGGTCATGGATAATTATTATAAGGGAGCAAAGGAGAAATAATAAGTTAGGGGATTGGAAGAGAAAATCATATTTGATCAATGACCAAAATTAAAATGCCCATAGTACAAGGCACTAAAAGTATGACTTTTTAACATTGAACTTCACTACAGCAAGTCAAATTTCCTGATATCAAAGCATCAATGGGAGGAGAACATAATAAAATTGGATCGTGCTATTTTCTTAATATGAATTACACCATCAACACAAAAATCATATGTTCTAACTTCCAGGTAAATAGAATTTTTTGAGCATGAAATGACATAAGAACACCTTTTTCTTTTTCTCAAACTGCCATTCAAACTATTGTCTCTTTCAGATATATTATGAGTAAAGCTTTACTCAGTGGGAGAAATATGTAAGCCAAATGCCATGGATTACCTTGGTCTTCAAAAACTGTGACGTCAAATCTCTGTGTTGTTCTACCTCACTGCGCACGTGGTTGCAGAAAGCCACCGAGTACTGGCGAATGTAGAAGGGACTGAAGTTTTTGATGGCAGCCTCAGTTTTCCCTGGAAAAAACATGAAAATTAGAATTTAGAGATGTAGCACTCTCAGAATAGACACATATCTACATAATTCATAAACACTCCTCCACTCTCCCTAACACCACTGGTTCCCAGAACTGTATTAGTCCACATGCCCTGAGAACTTTCATACTTGTGGCACATGCTGTTATCTCTCCCTCCCCTTCTGGGATCATCCTGAGAGACTCTGTTGTCCCTAAGGGCCACCATCCAGTAAGCAATAGTTTTTTTCTTCATTTTACATCAACAACCCATTGCCATGGCCATGAACTCAACATTCTTCTAATCCTCTACAACCACCATTCTACCTTACCCTGTTGTCACTTCAGCTCTTCATTCCCCTTACGTCCATCAATCAACTCCTGCACAGCAAGAGCCCCAGGGCCCACCATTTCAGCTCTGCACACTCATCACCCCGTTTGTCTTCAGATCCCTGAAGCTCCACCTCTTGTCTTGCTGATCCACAGCTCTGGATAAAACATCAACAAACGACTTCTTCTAGTCCTGGCCCTATGTTTCTGGTTTAAATTTTGTGTGTGTGGTTCAAAGCATCATATAATTACTGTGAGGTACAGAGAAAAGCTTTACAAATCTAGAGACCTGAGTTCTGGTCCCGATTCAACTGAGATAGGAACCAGCTGTATGACCTCAGTCAAGTCACTCATTCTCTCTGGGTTCCAGTGCCCCTACCTCTAAAGGAAGGTGCCCATTCGTCCACACTGTTCTTGGAATCTACGTGACACTGAACTATAACCATGGAAGTACAGCTGCCTCACAATAGTGACCAACGACTGCAATACGGTCTCTTGGCACCAGAAGAAAATAAGGCTGAGAACCAACCATGAGGGGGCAGCTTGAGGACTCAAGATAGAGGGAGAGAGAGGGCCAGGCACTGAGAATATTGTTGAGCTTTTCCAACCTGTGCCTAGCTTTAGAGAGTAGGGTAGTTGCAAAGGAGAGGTGAAATAAGGGAGAAAGGGCAGAGGAGTTTTCTAAAGTAGATTCGAAATCTTCTGAACCTTTCAAGGACTTGCTACAGAGTGTAGAAATAAACACAGGTCCCATTGACTGTGCTTTAAAGCTATTAGTCCGTGGAATATTAGCTTGAGAAAAAAATAAACCTGATACAACATTCCAAAATCTTTTCAAATACTTTTAGGTGAATTTGGCATAATTTTTGTTTTCACATTTGATATTAGAGTCAACAGAGAAATATTAAAATATAGCATGCTGGCAAGATTTGTTTTGAGTTATTACACATGTAAAATTTTAACAATAAAAGTTCTAACCACATAGTGTGAGATACTCAATACAAGAACCTTGAATCCATGACTGTCAATTTCTAACCTATAGAATGACAGCCCCAAACACCCACAGTGTAGGAATATTCTCTTTATATGGAGAAGTCCACTTTAGCTCAAGTGTTTAGTTCTCATGATATGTAGGAGGTAAAGCAGACCTCTTGCTTATTCCCTCAATAAAATGACATTTCCTGGCCGTATTTATGGGCTTTAATAATTGTTACTTGTAAGGTGCTTTGAGACCCACTAATAATAGGTTCTGTGGAAATGCAAATGAAAGCTCCTATATTTTAAACCAAGCATGCTTTTGCTTGCTCTGTGAGTTTATGGTATTACTATTAATCAATATTTGCATAACACTTTAATACACTCAGACTTTATAACTAATTGGTTATTATTTTCACTAGCTTTTATATAGTGCGTAAGAAATAAAATTCAATATCCTTGTCTAATTTTCTTACATTGGAGTGGGGCATCTTTGAGAATTCCCACACTGAGAATGAGTCTTAACTCACTGACACATAAAAACAATTAACAAAATATGCCCTTTAGATCCAAGTAACCACTATTCTGTCTAACAGAAGAGCAGCCTGTTAATTTCTGATGCTGAACTTGGATTTAAATGAAAGGAGATGGACCTCATTTTACGATGAGCTCTACAAAGCCTTGAGAGCTGATTTCCTGCCACATCACCAAGCCTCCCTCAAGGATGCCTGGCTTCTGCTGAGGTGCTACAGTGCCGCCACTCCCTCCCAGTGCACAATAAAAATGCTTCTGGATTTTGAATAGTGCATATGGTACCATCAATGCGTCATCCACCAGGTAACACTTATAAACAAGAGATCATAGCTTCCTTGGGTAATTAACCTAATGACTGGTTCAAAATGTGCATTAAACAGCGAACAACATCACAAGTTTTAGGGGAAAGAGAGCCTATAGCAATTCCATAAATGTATCTAGATTTTAGATTAAATTACTCTACACCCGAATAAAGGAAAGTCTAATGTAGAGATCCTGACACTTTGAGGAAAAGCGTGAATCTGGCACAAAATGCCACTGTGGCTAGGACTCTGGAGTCAGACAGACATCTCATGTGGGTGGCTTCCTCTTTTATAAAAAGAAGACAAGAGGAACAATCTCATAGTGTTATTGTAATTACATGAAGTAGCGCAGTAAAGTGCTCAGCTCTGTAGTTGGCACACAGAAAGTGTTCAATAATCCAGAGCCATTTAGACCAACAGCAATGGTGATGATGGAGCACCCAAGCCAACTACCAGGGCAATGTCCTTAAGCTGACTCAGCAATCAAGGAGAAGCCAAAGGCGGGTCGTCTCCTGTAACTCATGAACTGGGACCATCTTGCCCAGCTGCACACAGAGCAGTGGTCCCACTCATTACAGGCTTGAACAAACATGACCTACATTTTCACAGATGTTTCAGGAACACTTTTAAATAAATTCTTGGCACATCGGAGGCCCTCCGTGCATCCCTGAATTAAAACCAACTAAATAAAACATTAGCATGAGTGAGCCGAAGCAAAAGCATGAGTTAGTAGCTGTGTTACATTGAGCCTCTCTCTCTGAGCCCCCATTTTCTTGCCTATAAAATGGGGATAATAAGATACCCATTTTCACAGGATTTTGTCTGTATTAAATGAGATGGTCTTCAGGTAAAAGAGTTCCGGGGGTAGTGCCTGACACTTTGGTTGCTCAATAAATTTTGACTATTATTACTGTTATTTAATATTCCACCGTGAACGCACGCACATAAAGTCAATCAGCACAAAGGGACCACACACAACTTCAGCTGAGACCAGTTTGTTTTCAGTTCTCAAGATTCTTGGGTATCGAACTGCCCTCATTCCCCTCCCCACTCTCCAATTTAGTATCCTATTCCCTTTCCTAAATTGTTTGTAAAACACAGTGCCAGGTCTTCCACTACAAGGAAGTTACTCAACAATATAAGGACTAGAATGGAAGGACTACTTCCACATTTTGTTATACCAGCATTTGGGGTGCATATTCCTCTAATCCTACTCAATTAGTGCCATCTGTGCTGGGCAATGTGTTGGCACAGTTTACTTCACCAGGCTGCTCATAACACCCTCAGGGTTATCATAACTAAAGCTAAGAGAAGCCTCTTCACAGCTCTGTCCCCAGCATTTAGCTTCAGTTCAACTTGGTAAAAGTAAGAAAAGTGTCTCTGGCCCTTTCCAAACCATTTCACGGAGGTTTGAAAATTCAGCACTGTTATTTTATTCCCTCTGCCTCACTTCCATATTTGGACACCAGATTTTGTCACTTTCATTTGCACAGGAGTTCCTGAAGCCATCCCCATTTCCCCAGCTCCCCGAGCCTTTAACCAAGTAATTGTCATCTTTTTAGCAACATTGTGAAAGTCTCTTCATCTGCCCTATGTCAGCATCCCAGCAGAGCCAAAAAAAACTTACTAGCTTTTAGCTCTAAAAGAGAAACAAAACATTCAAAACCAGAGTGGGAGGGGTGAGTGCCGTCGCTGTTCCCCAGATCCTGGGGGATTGTGGGAAATAAGCCACAGCGTGGTCTGTGTGGCAGAGGCAGGTTCTGGGAAGTGGACAGAGTGCGTCCAGGGCTGATGGAGCAGAACAGGAGAGGCTGAACCCAAGCTGGCCACCATGGTCCCACTGAAGAGAAAGTTGACATGAGTTAGCAAAGCCCAGAGGTTAGAGTGGGGAACAGTCTTTCAGGACCAAGTCTTGCCATTAACACTCCCACGGAAGTCTTCTGAAAGCCCTAAGAGGTACCCTCCAGTCGCAGGGGCATAATCCTCTGTGTCTGGCGAGTTTCGTTTGACACGTTGCTTCAAGACCACATCACTACCTTTGTAAAAAACCTTCAACAGTTCCCCAGTGCGACTCCCCAGAGTTGCTACTTAGCCTAGTAGCAAAGGCCCTGTGGTCTGGCCCCCACTGCCCTTATTTCCTACCTCTCCTACTCAAACTCTACCTCCTGTCCCCTGCAGGTGCCCATGTCTTCATGCCTTCATCTCCCACTAAATGCCCTGCCAGCAGATTTCAGAGCCTTCGAGCCCAGATGGCAATCCCAACCCAAGAAGCCTTCTTTGACTCTCCCCCAGCTGAAAAGTCTCACCTTCTTTCGCATTCTCCTGACACTGTGTACTACTCTGGCTCCAGCTGTTTAAATACAGCTTATTTCTCCACCAAAGGTATACAGTACTTATGTAACCAGCACATATTTGTTGGATGAACAAAAGAATGGCTGTGTAAATATTTAAGAGTAAAGCAAAGTACAATGCATGATAATCATGGAACCCACGTCAATACCTCGGCAAAGGAGAAAGGCACACTTCTCAGCTTGAACAGTTATCACAAATGTTCCCTCTTGAAGCTCACCTCATTTTTTCTTGGAAAAAAAAAAAAATCAGACTCTTACTGATTCATTCCTTTTAAGTTTTTAAATGAATTTTGTCCGTGAAATTCTATGTGGGAAATTACTTACTAACAAAAGTCTTTCTTTGTTTGTGTCTCTGGACCAGCTGGTAAACATGGGAATTATATAAGGGTCCAGGTAAAATTTACATGCAATCTAAAGAACCAAAAAAGTGCATGTTTTCTCATTCTAGAAGGTTCTTTGCTAACCTTCCAGTTCTGTAGTTCAACTCAAATCCAGTCTCTCGCATTAGTTTT